GTACACAAATTAATTCAACCATATATTTATAATATTAATTCTATCTCTGGCTCTGCTATATATATAGATTTTTTCTTACCTAGTAATTTACTGATTGTAACTTACCATTTACAACTCTGCTCATTACTTGCTAATATCAATATTAAAATTCAAACCTAATTTTTAGCCATATTTCTAAAGTCTAAAGATAATTCTTGAGTAAGTTCAACTATGTCTGTGTCACGATAATGTGCTTCAATTCCATATTTGAAAACTGTATAAGAAGCATAAAGCATTAATAAGTTTAGGCAATCGATGAGCGAGGCCAGATGTCTTGTGCAAGTCTAATTACAAACATAGTACATAATCAATTTTTTATTAATTAATTAACGTAAAAACATATTTAAATGTCAAATAAATTTACATTAATTAGATTTCTCTTACTGGGATTTTTAATACTGTATAACAAACGCCTTTTTTTTCTTAGAAATTACATGATTTTAATAGTAGATTTTTTATCGCTATGTCGAATACAATAGTTTGAAGGTTAATGGTGCTATTATGGTAAAATAAAAAAATTGTTTGTTCTAAAGAACATTTATAATGGTCCTTTAGCTCGTGACTGACACTTTGAAAAAATATAATTAACAAGCTTTTACTTTTATAGTTATATTGAATATATGTCTCATAAGTATTATAAAGGTAGATTATTAAAATATCTGACCAAACAAAAAAGCAGATTCACACTTCGTTACACTCTGTTATTGATATAAGATCCAAGCTTCATGTGGGCATAAATATTTACTAAAATTTCAAAGAGCCAAGACATAATTCTTTTTTCTATAAATACAACATGGATTCGATAGGGAGAACGCAACATAAGATACGCAATGTTCACTACAAGTACATATAAAAACCTTTTCGGATAAAAATGGCAAAGTACTCACGAGAGTACAATTCAACAAACCAAAGTATATTATTTCAATTCAAACCGAAAATATCTGGATAAAATGCCAAACAACATATTGAAGTTTTGATTTATAAGCCACGAATACATGAATATAATTACTAAGCCTCCTTCTTTTAAGATAACCCATTCTTTCTTTCTTTTATCTGTGCTAATTTTCTGCCTGCTTGCCTTCAGCGCTTCTC